CGATGGGGTTCGACGGTGGGCACGTGCAGCGAGCTGTGGTTTGAGAGATGTGTTCGTGCGCGCTTAGTCGCACGACGTGTGCTCTTCTACATGCCTGCGAGAAACAGAGGTCGCGCGGCACACGCACTCACGTCAAACACGCGGACGCAATCGAAGCGTGCCTTTCGGTTGCAGCCGTGTTCAACTCAACTCAGCTCATGGCTGGCTCGAAGCAGAGCTGCTCTGCGCTTCCGCCGGTGGCGGCGCAGGCACCATGGATGCCACGTCGGCCGGGCAACCGCCAGGCTTGGAGGGTGAGGAGGCCGAAAAGCAAGCGGCTGTGGAGAATGAGAACGAGAGCGTGATGGCTAGCCTGGAGGGCAATCCGGCGATGAAGAGCATCCGCGAAGTCATGGTTGCACTCCGAACGTCAGGGAAGGAATCTAAGGGTCCCCCGTATCAAGCCAAGAGCGCGGGCCTGCCGGCAACCTTCTCCGTCCCGACCGGCTCGGACTTCTACATGAACTCCATGATCGTAGCCGGGGTCGGGATCCTGTTAGCCTACATCACCAGTGTAGGCATTGCTTTTGTGTGGTCTTTGGTAAACATGATGATGAAGAACTGCGGGCAGGATTTCTGGAAAACGGACGGGGATGCCGCATGCAACGCGAAGATGGTCAATGCATTAGTGTTCTCCATCGAGCTGCGTTGCTTCGACACCAAACCTTCTTCGATGCTCCAAGAAGACTTCGACGACATGTGCTCGGGTTTCTGGATAGAAGTGGCAGTGAATGTCTTCGTCTTTATCGTGATGACTGGGAGCATCTTGTATTCGGAGCTTGGCAAGCTGGCTTCCAAGGTGACCTTCCACGAGAACCTCTTCGTGGTCGAGTCCTGGCACGGCAAGCTCTTCCAGTGCAGCTTTTTTGCCGACGTCATTCAAGCCAAGAGCACCAGCTCTGGCCTCGAGATCACCAGCAAGGCCAGGGTGCGCACAGAGAGCTCCAACAGTGAAGGGGGTGGTGGCTTCTTTGGGAGAAAGAAGAAGGAGCAGACTCTCAGCATCAACGGTGATGCCACGATGTCCGTCCTTGCCGGCAGCGGCGAAGCGAAGTGCAGCTTCCTGCAGGAGCGCTACATCGGTTGGGCTCCCTACAAGACTGAAGAAGTTGCTTGAATCTTGCTGTCAGATTTTTGTTGCAGCTTTCTGCAGTGCAGCACGGCTTGGCAAGGAGTTCGCAAAACGTCTGCCGGTGAGCATCCAGGGCTTCGATGGTGTTGCGGAGGTCGATGGTGCGACCGAGGCCCCGCCTCCTGGCCTCGTACAAAGCATATGTGAAGCTATGCGAAGCTGTACTGAAATCCTGCAAGACACTGTGCATGTCAAGGCCTAGACTGCAAGGGCACGGCTTACGTTACGGCGCTTGCATTGGTTTTGTTAATAAGCTCTGCAAGCCTTGAATCCGCAGCGATATAAGAGGGGAGGGAAGCTCTGTACGAGTGTATTAGATCAGTGCAGCGTGACATCGGTCAGGCCCCGGCCTCCGCGAGCTCTGCGAGCTGCACGAGCCTGCTGGAGGGACGACTAGGAAACCTCTTGGCAGCGCGCCGAGGGGAAGGAGAGAGAACAAATGCTCGCAAGCCCATCTCCTGCGACTTCTGCACGGAGGTTCTCTTCATCGTTTTGATTTCAGCTGTCGGCTACTACTGCTTCTCTGTACTCACAAACATCTTTGGTTGGGCTATGGCCACGGGGAGGGGCAAGTGCAGCCATGAGATGAAGCCCGACGTGGACTTGTGCGACTTCGTCCGTGTCTTCTCTCCGATCGAGCTTCCGTTGGTTGCTGTGCAGGAGTACGTCAACATTGCAGGCCTCGTAGTCGCTTGCATTGTCTATCCGATTTGGACCTTCATGAACCTCCCTTTTGAGTACAGATTCCACGGAGAGGTGGTCGAGGAGCTGCTCTTCGCGGGGTGGCAGTCCCAGGAGAGTACCATGATCGTTCATGGAGACATCGAGGGCTTGGAACTGGTTTGGGGATATCTGGAGAAGTGCATCAAAGCCGAGATCAGCGCGATCTACACAGTCAAGCAGGGGGTCACCAAGCCCTTCGAAATCACAGCAACCTTCTCGCCTGAGATGGAAATGAAGATTGGACTCGTCGACAGTGATTGCGCCTCGTGCAGCGGCCATGGCACGAAGGCTTTGAGCTACAAGGAGTCGGTCATGCGTGCCCTCAACGATGCGAAGCCCGGACTCTTGCAGATGCCCGCAGAAGAAGCGAGGACGGAAGCGTAAGCTATGGAGAAGTCGCACCTCGTGGCCCCGAAGAGTTGCAGCGGCTCGCCGCCAGGAGCACATCAGGGGCTTTTGCAGCGGTGTGTCAGCTCTTAAGTCCCGTTTCTACTCGTACGACTGCCGTAGCGGTCATGGAACTCGGCTCACATAAGTCGACGTAAGTTTAAGAAGTGTGCAGAAGGTATGTCTATGCCATTCACTTACACAATCTTACACGCATGTACAGCTTGCCTACATGCGGCGAAACCGCTGACGACGCCCTAAACTGGGCCTAGTCTCGCAGACCCGATCAGTCCGCTTCATCGCACGTTTTTCCCGCGTGGCGTGCTTTGACAGTGGAGCTCGCCCAAAACAAATCAAGTGGCCGTCCGGCTTCGGTAATTGCGGCTTCACGCGTGCATCTAGATTGCCCGCTTGCAGTCTCGCCCGTCAGAGCTTCCGCCAATGTGAGGGAACCGGGTCTTGGCAGAAATGTCGCGTCGCTCCGCCCCATAGCAGCCGTCGACCCTCAAGCTTTCCGGAGGCCTCGCGAAACGCTTCCTGATCTGTTCTGCCAGACATGCCGAAGTCCGCCATGAAGTCCAAGGCCATGAAGGCAGCCAAGGCCATGACCAAGGCACAGCTGGCGGACCAACTCGCCACCAAGTCGGAGCTCAAGAAGAAGGACTGCGGGGCCCTGCGTGGGCTC